GGGCCTGGACGTCCGGTAGGGACCCAGGCAGGCCGTTTTTTTGGCCAAGGACTGAAGCCTGCGATCTGGACCGCGGATCAGGCTTTGATCTACACGGCCCAGATTGCAGGCCGTGGACTACTGGGTCCGGCCCAGCACTACTTARGCTGGGCCAGCGCCCAGTTCGAAAGGAGGTACCAGGAGAAATCCAGCGTTACGCTGGTTCAAGACTTGRCTGCTGCGCTATTTTGGAGACTCCCTGCTGCGCTATTTCGGCCTCCCTGCTGCGCTATTCAGACGGCAGCTTCGCTGCTCATCAGCAAGGAAGGTCCAGCGCTGGAGGAGTCCAGCGCCAGATAGAGAGAGAGAGAGAGAGAGAGAGAGAGAAGAAGACTTACCTGGGCCAGCGCCATAGCTGGCTCTGCGGTATCTGCAGTTCAGCCATCGCCAGGTAAGTGCAGAAAGCGCCCAGCTTTCTACCTCTTCTTCTTCTTCTTCTTCTTCTTCTTCTTCTTCTTCTTCTTCTTCTTCTTCTTCTTCTCCTCTCCTCTTCTCCTCCTACTCCTCCACAGTTCTTTCCTCTACTTCTTCTTCTTCTTCCTCGTCTTGATCAGAGTAGAGATAGAGGTGACTGCAGACATTGTTTGGGCACGGCATTCTGCCTTATTGGACACGACATTCAGACCGGACTTACACGCTACATTGGGATTGAACTGTGCACGACATTCGGAGATCGGACTTGGGTTGGACTTGGTTACCTCCTATGTCCCCCCCCCCCCTTCTCTCTCGCATGTCTATAGATCTCTCCCTATGTGTGTGAGCGGAAGGGCAATCTCTCTAACGTCCTGCCCTTCCGAAGTTTCTCCCTTTCCTGTTGTTGTCCACGTGTCCTCTTGTTTACTATTATTCCGCTGCGCTGTTCCCCAGCCCATGATGATGATGATGCAAATGTGTTGTTGTCGTTTTTCTCGTTGGTTTACTTGTTGCATTGTGCACATTGACATCTGGTGAATGTTGCATCTATGCTGCTGGTTGTTGCCACTTTCATCATTGCTAGATCCTAGGCTGTTAGTGCATTTCACTTTCTGATATGCTACACTACTACACTCTCAGAGTCTAGCGCTGCACAGAAACAGCCTCCTACAGGCCAGCGCTATACACCCAGATGCAGATCATGAACAGCGAAGTAATCTCTAGTGCCGATAAGTCACTCTGACGATGAAGAAGGCAGCTATGGCTGCCTAGGTGCTACCGCAGCAGCAGTACCCACATGTACTCAGTGAAGACCCTCCGATAGTCCTGCCAAACGCAGATATCCCCTTGGGATAGATGCGCTGAGCACAGCCCCAGCTATGGCTGTCTCAGGTAGGCCGGCTATGGCCGCTTCACGCAGCTGATGTTGCAGGTGCCGCTGTAGACATTCAGCGCTGTTAAACTTGGTTGGCCACGAACGCTGCACGCGAAAAATGAAAAGCCAAAAGTCCTAAACCTACTCGGCCTGTCCTATTTCTAGATTCTACCCTAGACCTACTGGACTGAAACTGCTCTACCCGTACCGTTTCGACTTAGGGCCTCTAGGCCCTTCCCAGCTACGGGCTCTACCCACTGTAGACCCTTAGGGCCTTTATGACGTCGGGGAAGACTGGGCCTGCAATCGCGGGGCCGGAGCCGGTCTATTTTTAGAACAGCATATAGGCCTCAGTGTGACCCAAAACTCTGCACACACACACACAACAAAGCACGCTGCAAAACACAACAGGCACACACAACAGGGTACAACCTCGCCGTTAGTCACGGCAGCAGAAATGAGCACGTCATCGCACCTCAATGCGTTAAAAAAAACACAGCAACCGCACAGACAACAAAACACAGAAAACACAAAATCACGAATCTAACCTACGACGCGACCAGACCGAGGCAAGCCCCAGGCTTCGCCCTCAGCCTAATGTACAGTCCACTGAGAATCTGCAGGTTTCATTACACTTATCTGGATGCCATATCTCTGAGTTTTGAGTGGGCACATGTCGCCAGTTTGCTGCGCTGCTGTTTACATGCATGAAAAGTGTGAATGAGAACGAGTCTGATTGCATTTTGGAAGTCTTTTGGTGCTGAGTGTACGCAGACGGTATCTCCGGTTCAATACAGGCATAATGAGATGCAGTGCTGGTAAGTATGGCCCTCCGTGAATTTCTGACACATGCGGATAGCGCGCCTTGTCAGAGCAAAGGTCTACGTGCAGAAAAGACGAAAATGATGGTGAGTGGCCTTTTTTTCCCCCCCTAAATCATTTCTCGATTTATGTCTGTCATCCCTGTGCAGGGCCATCTTCGCTGTATTTGTCGAGGTTCTGGAGGAAGATACATTATCGCTGTATTTTTTCCCCCCTAATACATTAAGTTTTTTTTTCATTTTCGTTTCAAATACGGGACAAAACTTTTCGTTTTTTCTCCTGCTTTATTTTTCTCGTGAGAAATAATATCGTGTTCAGTGGTCGTTCCTTCTCGTTTGCAAAACAAACGACCTCCGCACCTCTGCCGGGGCTGTACCCTGCCTCTACCGACCCTGCCCATGTCTTCCATGTATTCAGGACGAACAAAAAGTTTGGCTGGGCGGGGTACTGGTGGTTTAAGAAAGCTCAAGATGCCATGGTTGCATCTGAGAACAAACACAGACGGCCATCTGAGTTTCAGGTAGGTGAACGAGTGTGGTTTAAATCATCTGAACTGGGTTAGGAGTTGGGAATATCACGAAAACGAATGCCTCAGTATTTCGGTCCCTGGGAGGTCCTAGATATAGTTGGGGATCAGATGGATGGATCCTCCTGTGTGACTCGGATCCCTGCTCACCTGCGCACACACCCAGTCTTTCACACCTCAAAGCTAGCTTCTTTCACAGAAACTGCGCAGTTTCCTTCCAGACGATCAATGCTGCCCCCTACCATGGATGGCGAAGTCGACATTGATGACATTGTGGAGCACAGAGTGATGCCTGTTCCTAAGCCTCCCAGCAGAGGCCGACCCCCCGTGTCAGATTCAGACATCATACTGATCCCAGCGAAGACCAGTGGTTTACCAGAGAGGAACTGCAGCAGACAGCTCCCCAAGTGATTGCAGGATATGAACGAAGGCTCAAAGGAAAATCGCCTGCAAAATTAAAGGACTTCTCAGGGGACTATCGAAGTAAAGGAGGAGGGAATGCGAGGATCAGGCTCCTCGGCAGGCCTTAGGGGCCCCAATTGCAAAAGTGTGCCCGGCGCCTGCCCTAAGTGAAGGCGAGCCTGATAAAATCGAGAGGCCCATTGTTGTCAATTTCGCATTTGGGGTTCAGGAAGTTGCGTCGCGTCAGTTGGTTGAAGGAACCCAGGCCACGGCCAGCCGCACTTTGTTTTGGCCTTCTAGGCCTTTCTCCAAAGCAGGCCCTCGGCCGCATCTGCAGCAGTATACACGACAAAAAGTTGGGAGGCGTAACCACACGGGGCCCAGGGCAATAGCAGCAGAGGCCCAGCTACCCGGGGCCTACCGGAAGCTTCTGGGCACAGGCCCAGTCCAGCCAGGCAGCGCACAGGCCAGACTCTCTCCATATAGGAAAGAGCTTGCTGCCTGGCCATCCATTCGGGCACTTGCTAGTTTGCGGCAGTGCTGCTGGAGCGAATGCTCGCGGGCTGCTGCTAGCGCAGAGCAAGGCGCCACGCACATGCGGTCGTGTAGAGGAAGGGCACTGCCGAGGGCAGCGCCACAGCCCAGCTTCCATAGCTGGCTGGTGCTTGGTTGTACAGCAGGGAGGAGTGGTGGTCTTCGTGCACGAGGGAGAAGATGTGGGTGAAAGACAAGGGAGAGAAAGAGAGAGAGAGAGATGTGGCTGGGCGACATGCTGACGTCAACAGTTGCATTGTCAATTCGTAGGCTGGGAGTAGCTGTGTGTTAGTAGTCTGGGCGCTGAGCGCCAAGTAGGGGAAGGGCCTTGAATACTTATGTTGGTGATGGCGAGAGTGTGCTCTCATTGACACTTGGATTCAGTGCTTTGGTTTCTCCATTGGTGTATTATTGGTGCAATTCTGCTTTCTGGACAGCGTGGTACTTTCCGGCTTTCAATGTGATGTTGTAATCTGGAAATCTGTCATTTCACTATTGCTCAAATTCCTTGCACTAGGACAGGTAAGGCAAAAGATACTTTACTCACATCCAGAGCGCAGAAGAAGGTATGTCTCCCCAAGTGGTCACAGCGGCTGCACTTGTATTAGCACAAAATGTTTGATAAATTGATAATAAGAATGGGTGTGCTCACTCTGCTGACATGATGGTTAAACCTTCGTTTTTCTTGGAAGCAGGTGATTCTATGACCTGGAGTCCAAGCGCACTGACAATCCTCATTCAAGTCATGTCAGTCATCGCATGGCTGATGCTTTGAGACAACACCCCTTCTGATTTATATGCAAGCAGCTGCAGTTCGAGGTAGCATAGAGTTTTCATCTATTGTCTTTGCGAGAATGGGTCTGGGAATGCAGACCATCTGACAGCGATTATCAAGCCTGTGCCCATTATCATGTTCCATATCTTGTGCTACTCTTAGCGGATTGCAGTTACGCATGTCTTCATTTTTGTCACGGAAACAGCTCCATCCTGTGGAATTTTACTCTTGCAGCAAAGAGCAGGATATCATTGGTTACATATCGGTCGTGTCAACATTGGCTGGCTTCAAGACCTACTCCCCAAATTGAGCAGGTCAGGATGATCTTCATGAATTGGAAGGTGTTGGTGCATGTCCTTTGCAGAGCTGGTGATAGTAAGTCAGGTCTTCCTTTTTGCGGGAAAAGAGTAGGGCTGTGTCAACATAACTTTTGCGGGAAAGGTAATAGGTTCAACACCCTCACCCGAAGAAAATTTCTGATGTTGCTTGGTACCTCCATCTATTCCCAAACTTGATTTGCTTAATACGGAGTTGTTGCTGTATTTACACCTGTCAGCTTGCAGTAGTCATAGCTATATAGTCATATCTTTTTTTTTTTTTTTTTTTTTTTTTTTTTTCAAACAGGGGCCCAGTGCCCAAGGCTCAAATTGCAAATTGAAATACAACGCAAACACACGCCTCTTCCCATTAGGGCTGGAAGGGCCTCGGCCACTGCTCCCGCAGAGACAGCTTCCCTAGTCAACGAGAATAGAGCATGGGCACTGAGCATTGATTGCTTCCCCTGAAGGGAAGGATTAACCCAGTCCCATAGACAATCAAATTCTGCCCTAATATAGCAAACCGCCAATGATCAAACACTACAAATCAAAACGGGGGCGGGGGGGGGGGGGGATTATAGCAGGGCAAAAGTTAGTCGAGCACACCCTGGATCTCAGTCAAAACCCTAAGTGGCTATGCCCAACAGTTCACACGATCCTTGAGATGAAATGAACTTAAAGCAAATCAAGAAAGGAAGAAATCAGCATACAAGTTGTCTGAGAGTCACAGTTCCCGTATAGATCCATATCTATGAGATCAACGAGATCAATCGAGACCAGGCAATCAGATCGAAGCAGATAACCTTCCAGCAAGGCAAATCCATTCCACAGGCTATAGCCAATTGGAAACGCAGGTCAAGTTATCCCAAGCACTTTCAAAACACCACCCAGACTCGACGATTGAAGAGACAAAATGCCACCCACGGGATCAAAGATTCTGTCTCCTGACTTACCCCCATCAGTAACGACACAGGGGACCACGCGACCGGCTCATTTCCAACCGATGACAAAACTGCAGTGGAGAATATCATTGTTACTGTTGTCGATGAAGTTGATAATAGATCAGTTTTGTGAGATGTCGTTGTGATACCCACTGGATCGTCCGACGGAGCAGCAAACACTCCCGGTGTTATTGTGAACGAACTTGATACTAGATGGATTGATGCCGACCCCGTTTCGGAAGAAGTCACCATGATGCCCACCAGGTCCGGTGTTAGAGTAGAAACCGCTCCCCATGCGTTCGATATCTCCGTGATGCACACTGGGGCGCCTGTTGCAGTCTTTGATATTGGCAATTCTGCAGATGTTGTTGTCATAAGCACTGTTGTCGAACTTGTTGTTGATGCTACCGTTGTTGATGTTGTTGTTGATGCTGTTGTTAATGTTGCTGATGATGCTGTCGTTGATTCTGTTGTTGATACTGTCGACGATACTGCTGATGATAGTGGCGAAGTTGCAAATCCAGCTGCCTGGGAGCGCCTAATTACCTCCACACCCCATGCACGTGGTTCGGCCTGAAGCCGAAGACAATCGCTCCACATATCGTTTGCTCGGTGCCAGTCGAGATAGGCATCTATCTCCATGGCAGGCCCCTCTTCGAAAGGCTCGCTGATTTCCAACTTGTGCTGCACTATGGCCTCCACCCATCCRGTTACAGAGGTTGCTCCCCCTTCAACCTCAAGACCAGACAGGGGTGGGAGGAGAGCTGGACCACCATAGCCCGAAGTTTCTCCCRACATTCGTTCAACCTAGAGAGCCAGCAGTCCGCCTCGAGTYGCCGCCCCTCCGCARAAGCCATCGTGTGTTGAAAATCTTATCGCCTATCTCCGTGGTATTGTCCTCAGGATCACCTTGTGTTATTCGCAGCGCTCCACTTGCAAGGACACCGTTCGCTCGTTGACTACAGGGTATTCCTACCCTGCCCGTGTCGCCGCGCCTCCGCCATACCCGTTAGGTCAACCTACCTTCCACGCTGCGATGGCGTCAACGTCTCCTGTCGTCCTCGTCAACCTCGAGGTCTTGGGTAGCAAGTAGCTAGCAATACATGATGGTTTTTCCCTTTTGAACAGTCATCTTGTCTGAGTTGTCTCTAATTATTCCCTACATCACGTCTGAAACCTCTCTTGCAGATATATTCCAATCGGTCAAGGAATCTGTTGGTTGTCATTGAATCATTTGGTTGAACAACTGTCTTCACACGGGAGCAGCCAGTCAAAGACAAGCAATGTGGCTCGCACAGCGAGTGGAACAACCTTCGCACCCGCCACCTCCCCTCAGCATGCTGCACATCTCTGAGTCTAAATTTGTCATGAACACAAGTCTGCGGCCATGTCCACCTGTGTAATCCAACTTCCTGATGTGCGCCTTTGTGCTTGATGTCGTCACGTAACCATCACACCCGCCACTTTCCATCTGCCTGCTGAACATCCGTCAATCTACATTCTCATGAGCACACACCTGTGGACATGAGCACAAGCCTGTGGCCATGTCCACAGGTGTACTCCAAGTTCCTCATGTGTCCTTGTGTGCCTGATTAAGTCACCTATTTGTCCACTGGCTTAACATTTACCTTTCCTGTGAGTGCCTCCAAAGTTGCAAAACTGTCCTGACGACTGTGAACTCATAACACCCTTGTGAAGTAATAATGGCGATATCAGAGAATCAGTTATCTACCATCGATTATTCACAGTAAGTAAATGGACGTTTCGTTGAAATGAAAAAAGGCCACAGAGAGAAGTGGACCCAGCAGAATGGGCTTGGAACCTAAAACAAGAAAGCTCAAGAATGAAAAAAAATAGGACAGGCCGCGGATAGAGACCGCCAGCGCCGTTGGGTTAGCGCTTCGCCATCACCGTCGCGCCATCGCGACACCACGCCATTGCGCCATCGCCTTCGCGCCAGAGCGCTACCATGCCAATGTGTTGACCAAATCACTGCGCCATCGCGCTATCGTGCCACTTCACCATCGCGCCACCAAGTACATCAAGTTCGCGCGATTAAGCGGGCCAGGTCGAAGCGCCTGGCCTGCTCACGCGTGTCTCTGCAACGTAGTCAAGGCGCGGAGGGGTCAGTGCGAGAGAGAGAGAGAGAGAGAGAGAGAGAGAGAGAGAGAGAGGGAGAGAGAGGGAGAGGGAGAGGGAGAGAGGGAGTTCCCCACATGGGAATATAGCGCCGGCTTGGAATATCGGGCGCTCGACCAGAGCAGGGGTTTGGATAAGGACAAGAAAAGGAGGGAGAGGGCGGGAGAGAGGAAGGGGGAGAACGACGGAAAAGAAGGGAGTAAAAGGAAAAAAGGAAAAGGGGAAGAGGGAGGGGTAGAGAGAGGGAGAGGGAAGAAGGAGAAGGGTGATGAAGGGAGGAAGAACTTGGAACATAGAAGGATTATAGAAGAAAACGTGGGGAGATTTTTTTTTTTTTTTTTTTTTAAAGAGACGAAAACCAATCATAACAAAATCAATATTATTATTAATAATATTATTTAGAATATTATTATTTGGCAGCTTCAACGGAAGGGTAAGCGATTGGAGAGGTCTTCGAAGTCAGATTCATCGAATCGGACCTCGTCCGAGCGCGGATCAGCTCAGCGGGACAGGGAGCAATGCCAAGATCGAGTGCCGATCGCTGACATCAACGGAGTGTTCGGAGGGGAAGGGAAAAGAGAGAGAGGGGAAGGAAAACCAAATATAACAAAATCAATAT